CGGGCTGACGCCTGTGAGCAATCAGCCAAGTATACTGTCATGACTTTAAACCCATGAAACTTTAATAGCGATTTCCTGATGATTTAAGGAACAACTTCTGACTGTCAGGAAAGATTAGCCTCTTGAAGACCCAGCACAGCCACAATGGTGGACTCCCCACACCCTGTTGCGTACAATAGGGCTTAATTGATAACAAGAATGCTGATAATAACACTGTTGTGGCAGAAATCTGATCCTTCTCTAGTCTAATCTCATATTTACATCTTTATTGCAGCAGCAGGGAGATGCTCAGCTGTGTCTCCTACAATTTACACAGGCAGGGTCCAAAGTCTCAATAAACATCCATCCAATATGATCCTGGTAAATCCACCACCAAGGACATTTATGTAAAATCTCCTTTAATAAACGTATTATCTTCTTATTTAACTTCTTATTTAAACAACATGACCTGCACGATTTGTTGATTTCAGCAGGTTGTGCATTTTAAGATTTGGTCCTGTACAGTAGTAGTAGTGGATGTAACCTGATATAAGCTTCAGTAGGAATACTGCAAGTTCAAGGTGAAAAACATTTGGATGGGCTCCCCTAAATTGCCCAGAAAGACACACATCACTCCACTGTGACAAGTTCCTTATTCACTTCTGAGTAAGCGATCCATTTCTCTTCCTCCTCTTACAGTCAGTCCAAAGTCAAAGCATCATAAAACCTCTGTCACTCATAGGCACGCTGAGTTTTATCCTTCCTCATACGGAGACGGATTCTATAAGACGCAAAGACGAGGAACGAGACGGGAATTAATGAAGATCCCACACCAAAGGATCATCGGGTAGACCGTTTTCATTTTAACGGTGACATTAACAGTGCTCCGTGATTTGTTTTACCGCTGCACACCTTGAGCGCTGACATTGAACACAACAGTTCAGATTAAAAAAGCCAAAACAAAACCCTTTAAATCGTCAGTACTTTGGTAATTGCAACTCATTGTATGGATTTCTTTTTCTTTTTCTCTCCAGGGACTAGAAATAAAAGAAACTTGTGATGTTGAGAAAGGTAAGGCTGAAACAAACTCGAGATAATAACTTTGGAGATGTGAGTTTTATTGAGAGAACTGCCGCCCCACCGAGTGTCACTTTGTGTTCCCGTAAACTGAAACCTAGTCCCGTGTCCCTGAAGGACAACGTGAAATCTTTCTGTCTTTTGCTTTCAGGGGGAATGGGTTTGGGTGGACTCGAGCATAGGGGTGCCCATCGGAGCAAGGGTCAAAGTAACACCGTCGGGTCAGCGGTTGCTGGTGGACGATGAGGGAAAGGTAAACAGTGCTTTTGCACTCTCACAGGGTAAAAGTCAAACATCCCAAAACGGCAACAGTTGGTGTTATGTCGCTGAGTGTATTCCCGTTTTCACCCTTCCTCAGGAGCGCAGGTTGTCACCGGAGCAGGAAGCCTCCCTCAAGATCATGCACCCTACATCGGTGGAGGGGGTGGACGACATGATCAAACTCGGGGACATGACGGAGGCCGGTCTCCTCAGGAACCTCCTGCTCAGACACAGACAAGGCATCATCTATGTGAGCAACACACTGAAGGAAAAAGTGATTTTTGTCGCCAGTGTTCCTACATGCTTTGGACGCTTGTACTTTAAATCCCCGACTTGACGTCAAGTATCTTTATCTTTACTGTCATTGTATAAACATGACACAGCAAAGCCAAATATAGAAAAAATTTATTACAAGACAGAGAAGACAGTTGCTGAGGATAAAAAGCAGATTAAAAGTAAAATGGATTTGGTTCATTCAACTCAATTTTCAAAATATCTACACATCATGAGGCCAGCGCGCTGTGAATGACCTGATATAGACACTT